ACCATCACCCTCGTCCTCGCGCATGTCTTTGTCTCCGCTTTCGCCAAGCCTTTCTTTACCCAATTCCCCATTTTGGTGAATGGTAGGCTTTGCCCCTTTCTCGCGTGCTAGCCCTTAAATATTTCCGTTCTTGCTCCTTGATCGTACTCATGTTTCCATATCTTCCATCCTCAGCTAAACTACCCCATCTTCTTCCAACCGCCCATTCCTTAAACAATCTTCTTCTCATTTCTTACTCACGCTTCGTCTAGGCTCCTTGTCTTCTCCATTCCTCCATTCTTTTACGGTCATTTTTCTCTCTCAGCTTCCTTGCGTTGAGCTGCCCGTTTGTCACTTCAGGCTGAGATGAACCATTAAACTCCCTTGTTTTCTGATGAAATCGCTGCCGTCGCTTTTTTTCTGACTCACTAAGATACCACGCACTTTCATAAGTCACATAATTTGATCCCTGAGAATGTTCTTTGTTGGACTTAGAGATCTCGTTATGTGACATTTTCAGCTCAAAGCGAGGAGACAGCTCGCATGAATAATTTAGCACCTTCACTTCGTCGCTTCCTAACAGCTTCGGTGACAGATTATTTTAAATTCTTCCTCTTCGACATTTATTCCGTGCGGAAAGACTTTTTTCTTTGAGAGAGTTGAGGCGGACAAAACTCGGTATATTTGATTTGTTTCGGAGACATTAGTGGCAGCTTCGAACTTCGAGCCGCCACCTGCCAGGCTGGGAAATATTGGAAGACTTAGAAGCCAAGCCTTGGAAACTCTCAGCAAATATCTGGGGGTCACTGGAAAAGAATGGAACGAATCCTACCGTGTCCCAAGTGTCCGGTCTGAAAATTTGTTATATAATAGGAATTTACATACACACTCACAGACTATAGTCTTCAACATTCCTTTATGATATAGGAGACCGGTAATTAAATGATCAGTAGTTTTTCAATCCAAATTTTCACCAACAAAAAAAATTTTTTTAATGAAATAAGTAATGCTTATCTTCTGAATGATTATTTTGGAACATATCTAGTAAATGCACGAACATTTCACATCTTAGTTAACTTAGTGAAATCTCAAATGTCCCAAAGAAAAATGGACATGCCACGCATTTTGAATATCTGATATAATTTTGAAATAAAAACATATTTTTTAAATACGTATAATACAGGACCATACGTAATGTACTGCGCAAACATTAATTGTTTCATGTAATATTGAACGTATTTATTACGTGTTAATTTACAGATTTTGACCGGCGTCCTTCCTTCGATCTAATGTGGTTGAATTTCGTATTATTTTCCTACCTCTAAAGAAATACTTATCCTATAATATTTCATCTTTTTGCCACAGATTCTGTTATTTATGATATCCGCAAAAGAGTCATTCGTCTATCGTCCTTACAAAACTTGTTTTTTACTTGGGCTGCTCGTTTTTCTGGCGTTTTTCTTGGCGTTATTGTAACTCTTCAGGTTTGCCCTTTCAAAATTAACTTATATTATACTTTATAACTATTTATTGTTGTATAAAAAAGAAATAAGTATAATGTAGTTAATTCCGTTCTCGTGCAAAGCACAGAAATTCACAAGTCACAAGTCAAAGTCACAGAATATGACTGGTGTAAGATAATTATAAATGGCATTTCTAATATAGTGATATCGAAATATATACAATATTGGATATCACATTACCTCAAATGTCCATTTCATGCTAGATTGTCCATACGATTTAAAATATCAACGAGTCAGTTTAGGGTGCCATGTTTCCGAATACCTCAATCTACGATTTTCCTCATCACGTGCGATTTTGGATGAAACAAAAATATTGAGAACATAACAAGTTTTTGCGGAGAATGAATTTTTACTTTTCCCAGCCGCAAACACTTTTACCGCTATAAATAAGAAATACACAAGGTTATAATGTATAATCTAAAATAACTCTTGAGTCGTCAGCAATGGTGCAAACGATTAGCGCACAGTACTCATAAGACATTAGGAATTAATTATGAAATTTGTCGTCACAAATAGTAGAAACTGTATGTGATGTATGGGAAGAAGTAAAATAATTCGTAAATTAGGTATAAAATGCGAATCCTTTCGGAGTCAGCATGTTCAGTATATCGCGTGTTAAAAATATTAGAACTCCTTTCATTTTGTACTCATAAAATAACAGATACAAAGGCAGTTTGTTTATGAAAGAATGAATGCCTGATACTAATACAATAAGCCAAAATAATATAATAGTTGGAATTTTTTAAAACATGGGCAATGAATCTAATTTTCTTAAAGTTTCGATTTTGTAATTGTTAAATTTTTACAAGAGTTGCGATTGTCACTTTGATAGTGTTATTCAGCTCCAACAAATATAAACATTTGCTGGAGATAACCAGGTATGTGTTGGTATCCAAACGTTTAAATGTTCGTTATTAATATTCGTTGGTAATTAAACGTGTGTAGTGTTACAAAAGAAGCCAACAAAAAACTCTTTTCTGGCTTATTTACTAAATAGTACATACTGTTTTGCAATATGAACCCAAGCTGATTTCTCGCAATGCACACATATACCAAAATTAGAATGAATTAATAATTTTCAAACATTTAAACAGAAAATATCTGATACGAGAACGAATTTTTGCAGAATAATATTATTTCCATCTGGAAAGAAGATGTTAGTACGCCGAGGTCTATATTTAGTGAAAGGAGTAGCGAGTAAAAGTGATAACGTAACCAGTATATATGTACATGCCAAGCTGTATTACTCCGTTTGGTAGACACATTCCCTTACTTTTATGAAACCGTTTATAAACATTGTCCGTGAATAATCGTTTCGTTTTTATAATAATTCTTTAATGTTCACTACTATCATCCAGCATTCAATGGAACTTCACATGCTGGTGGTCACGTGATTATTAATCACGTTTTACGCTACGATCTGCAACAATTTCAATAGACGAAAGACTTTCTCGATAGAGTGGTTTCATCTCTCTCTCTCTCTCTCTCTCTCTCTCTCTCTCTCTCTCTTTCTCTCTCTCTTTC